TTTCAGAGGTGAGGTGAGAAATGGCACTCGCACCGCGTTCGATGTCTGTCGACAGATGGGGGTTCATATACCGACCCTGAGGTCCGCCATCTACGTCCTCTCTATCCACCAAAAACTCCCTGAAATCATCGGCTACCCAGACACTCCATGCACCCACAGATTTTACAGTACATCTCCTACATGGACCCCATGGCAACCACCCAGGCCCCAATGTATATGCATAACATATCTAATATACCAGGTTTCATGGAGTATCTGGGATGGTTACGTGGATGGCAAACGGCCCCGAAGACGACTCGGATCACCATGAAATCATACGACACCGGATGGGCTTTAACACTCCGCCAAGCCAATTTGTTCAAGCTTGTTCTACACCGTTCGAAGAGCGACCGGACACGGTCGGTGGGAAAAGACCTGGGTCCTGGCTGTGGCCGGGGTGGTGGAAGGCTGCCTGAGGCCATCCGAGGTTCGGAGCAAGTCCACCATGACCATCTTGGTGGAATTTCTGCGGATTCCACGTGGGGGAAGCATGTCCGACTTCATTATCTCCATAGGACTGATGTGAAAGGCTGAGGTGGAAAGATGGCGAGGCTTCGAAGAGTCCCCAGAAAATGCCAACAGCTCCTTTGGCAACATCTCTGGGCATTGCTGTCAGTCTGTGAGCATACGCGCAGACGCACATGTCTTGCGCTTTTTTGCTTCCACAGGTTTCGCAGGTTTCGCACAGGGGTTACTATAGGTAAGAGCCTTGTCGCGTCATCTACCTCAAATACTAGGGAACACTATAACACATGGTCCAATCGAATCATGGTGTGAACATCTGTGACTTAGCTAATGACGATCCCTGAGAATCAAAGTTCAGGATCTTCCACAGACTAAGCATCACAAGGCTTCGACGCACTCTGCATGCCAAGAGTCTACCTTTCTCGCCCTTCTCCGCCTGTGTTTGAGGCCCAATCAACCAGTTGGAGGCCCTACAGTAGCATGTGAATGGATGCGAATCTGTTTTGAAGGCACAAACTCAACATCTCCTCCTCCCATGTTTTTTTGGGAGCGGTTGGTAGTGCTGCGGTTTCAACCACGAAAAACCTTACCTTTTTGAAGGGATCGTTGACACAATCCCTCCTCCTCCAGTCTCACCCCGTAAAACCTCTGTGTGTTTTGACCTCCATGAGTTGTTTTGATATATGACCTTCTGTCCAGTATTTGAATCATATACCAAAAGGTGTTCCAGGTCATATCAACCTGTCAGTGTTCCAAGTGACCTGACTTCATTGGTCAAGTACGGTCAAGTGGTGTTGCTTTGACCGACCGATCACCGGCCCCTCCAAACCCCCGCGTGAGAACGAAGGACACCCCCCCCCACCACCCTTGGATCCAGCTCACTCCGCGGGGATGCAAAAAGAGGCCTTCCAACAAATGCCCATCCTCTTGCAGCATGGTTGCCTTTGATAGACTTATAGGAGCATGGCTATTGTATCATCCCACATCCCATCTGAGTGGATCATGGCTCTCCTCCCTTCAAAAACCGGCCACCGCTGCAGCGATCTGCGACTCCCTTCGTCGGTCCCCGCCTTGGAGCCGCTCTCTTCGCGCTTTCCACGCGCAGCGCTCGAAGCCTAAGGAGGACCAGGTTTCGCCGGGTTTCGTGTGGAGACCCAGACCATCCCATGTACCTAGATCTTCCAACAACATGCCCCATGTCTGCCGAACACGGCAAACACGAATGGCATAGTTGGAAAATCCATGTATATGACATATATTTACTGATTCGTTGGGCTGCTTTAGGGAGGTTCATGGGGTTGGCAGTTTTTTTCCAGTCCCATGGAGGGTCTGATTCATCAAACCAACCCCCAAAAAAACAGGGTGCACTGGGTGCCCCCTGGTCTTTTCCCACCGATCATGAACAGAATGAACTAGTTGGGAGGTCGACCTACCAGGGTTTGGGGTCCTCCACAGTCACCTAGAGCCCACACATGACCTCCGCTTTGACTAGGAAAAGAACTCATGACCTGGGTGCTGAAATCGGATTCGCTGCTGACCCCCAAAACGTACACGTCATAACCCCCACGTATCTCAAACCGGAGGGGAAATTCAGCCGAGTTCCAGGAAAAAGAGAGAAACGCTGAAGTCAAATCCAATCACCTTCGCCATCACCTGGTCCATTTTTGCAGAACTCACCAGGCTTCACTCGATGACTCCCCGCGCTGCGGGGAAAGCAGAACTCGCTGCGGTGCTCCGGCACCGGCACCGCGCCGTGACGCGCACGGAGACCGAGGGCCCCAGGCGGGCTGTGCGGAGCTCTCCGCGACCTGCGCAGCGCCGTCCGGGAGGGAAGAGTCCAACGGACTCTCCGGGAGTCGACTGCCAGGCACGACTGCCATGGACCTACGAGAGTGACGAGAGATCTGTACGTCTTCGACCCGTAGTTGACCTGGCCATGTCAGGTGATCTGTACGTATTCCAGACATAGAGTAGATCTGGGACTTCTGACCGATGCACCACTTCTAACCGTGATTTCTTGGTATCTTCAAGTCATCTTCTGGTGCCAAGAGCGCAGAAAACGGTTGCCTATATAGCAGCCCCAACTAAGAGCCACTTCAACCGAACCCAAAACGACCTTGACATGTCCTCGACTCCAGTTGATGAATCAAGACCTTGACACGACCCGGACCTGGGACTGCCAAGTCGGACTGCCAGACCCAGACAGACCCCCGACTTCAACCACCCCGGAAGCCGTTTTGGAAGGCAGTCCGGCAGTCCCAGGGTCCGGGTCGTGTCTGGGTCGCTGGAGAAGTCCGTTCTCGGCCCCCGGAGGGCTTGGCTTACTGAAAACACCTGGGCGCTCGCGAAGCCGCGCACCTTGATGGGAGACCTGAGCGAGTCGGGCCGGGCGGAGGCGGTTCCTGTACCGCCCAAGTCTTACTAGCTTCTTGCTCCACCGAGCATAGTGCCCTTGTTACATGGTGTTCCTCACACAAAGACTTGCAAGTTTAGAAAGAAAGAAGATAAAGCATAAATCGAACCCAAACTAGAACACTGGGGCTCTAGCACGTCGGACACCCATTTGGAAGCACTGTTCCTGACAAGTCGCTAGGTCGCTAGGGCAAACCCTGCGCTTCTCATTGGTCCCCTTCATGACCCTCTTGAGTGGCCAAAGAGGCCCAAAGAATATACTAAATGAAGATCCAAGAGCCAGCAGTCACAAAGGGGTGCCTATTGGAGGATAGGGGTGCCCAGCTACTCCACTCACTTTATAGGGACTAGAAACATCCAAAAACCACCCCTTTTGTGACTCCTGGAGCTTCGTTTGAGCATCAGCCATTTCCTTCTCCCAGTCGTCTCTCCGACACCCACGCCGCAGGGTCCGCAGGGCGCCCCAGCGAATTCCCGCCGCGGGCGTCGGCTCCCTCCTCGAAGAGGGAAGGGTTGTTCGGGTTCGGTGGTTCTTTTGGGTCGGTGCTGGGGCGATCAGCTAGTAGCCTTTTCGAAATTGGAGCATGTTGAAGGACTAGTCCTTCATTCTGGTGTTGAAGCGTGGTGGTGCTGCGTGATGCAAAAACTCTTATAAATCCATGGTGCACGGAAGTCGATCGGCTCGTCTCGTTCCGTTCCCGTCGCCGCGTCTCGGTATCCACCACGCAGAACATTGGTTCGCCCATTTTTCACTACGCCAGTCCCTTCTCGGCTTCGCTTCAGCGATCTTCTGCGCACCCATGGGACAGGGACAACGCCCCTGACAACGCCTCATGCCTTAACACGGCACCCGTGTGAATGGAGACGCCCCCTGGTAGACCGGTCTACTTTCCAGGGCGCTCGAATCCTCCAAAAAGCATGCCGTTCGCTTGAGAGTTCTGAATGACATGACTTCGCAAAAGAGGCAGCAAGAGTCCAAGCAAGCCGATCTGTGATCACTCAAGCATTGAGAAAAACATTGGAATTCTGCGTACAAGTCCAGAGTGCTTCGTGTTCTCATACCTTACCTACCAGTAGATCTTCCAACTATGCAAAGCTTCTGCCGATGAAAAGGCAGACACTTTGGCGGCATATGGCATCGTTGGAAGATCCAGGTCTGTGTGGCCCTACTCAGAAACTCAGCCCTTTCAAACTGACATCCCGCCAACCATCGGGCGCAGCAGAACACCACCGCCCCGCCGGCGCCTGCGGGATCCTGTCGAAGGTCGCTGGATCCTGGACGTCGCCCCACCCGGCCCACGTGCCGAAATCGAAGGAAGTCGAGGCCAGCCGGGAAGGTCCAGGAAGTTCGGAAGGTCGTGGAAGGTCAGTATACCAACCTGCCTACGAGGTCACGAAGGTCGCGATGATTTTCAGGTCTCGATCTACATTCCAAGCTTGATCAAACTGCAAAACAAGAATGTCAGCCTCCCAATAGCAAACCATATTAGAAACCTATTCATTGGATTAGAGACACACCGATACACGTTTCCACCCAAGCCTATTGGGTGGGGAAGTGAAAACACAGAGTCCTCCATCTTCGAACCGAACGTCCAAACCGAACCCGCTCGCCTCGAAGGTGGAAGACCCTACACCAGGGACCCCACAAATCGTCGAAAACCTGATTTTATGTAGGAAAAACATGGAAAAAACCTGGTTTTTGTATGAAAACCTTTATTTTCCATGGGTTTGAGGGCTGCTAGTCGGTGGTGTTCTTCGACCCATAGATCTCCCAGGTCGGTCGAGTCTCACTTGAGCCCCCCCCCCACTGCCACGCTCGTCCTGCCCGCACTCCACCTGCGAGGGGGGCGAACACTGAGGAGGATGTTGGTGCGTCTTCTTTTTTGTTTAATCCCTAGGGCTCCAACCACCTCCTGAGAAGATGGTTGGGGTAGGTTTGGGGGGTCTAACCACCTCCTGAGGATATGGTTGGAGCCCTAGGGAATAGTCAAAGGATGTCAAAGGGTGTCTTCTTTCGGAAAATTACCATGTTTTCTTATGCGTCTTTTAGATGGTTTCTTTTTAGGGATGATCCCATTGCGTCTGCAGGGGTGCGATTCCGAGACTCGTGGCCAGTTTCACAACAGTCCCGTTTCGACGGAGGACACGGAAAGCGGACACCCCCCCGCAAGCGGGACCTCCTTTTTGCGTTCGAGTTTGGTCGGCTCGGTGGTTCACTCCGGGAGGAGGAGGAGGAAGCGCGCTGCCATCCACACTCCCACTTCACAGAGTTCGGCGTTCGGAAGAAGTCCGCACCAGGGACACCAGGTGGTTTCACTCCAACTGCTGATAGATCCGCTGCAAGCGTGCGAGCTTCTCCTGGTGCAGCTTGCCTCCAATGAGCTCCTCGTAGTTCTTTTGCCACTCCAGGAGCTTCCGATCGTTATCTCCCGGCCTCGGTCCTAAAGCCTCAATGTCTTTCTCCAAGGACTGGCGAAAGGCCTCCTGGGTCTTCTGCAAATCCGCCACGCAAAGCTCAGGAATGCGGGACTTGCAACTCTGAAAGCACTGGTCGAACTCTTGTCCTTTGGCTTTGGAGACCTCTTGCAGTTCTTCAAACTCCTTGGGCCAGGCATCTCCTGGTTTGCAGTCGGTGAGCCGACTGCAGCAACGCTTCTCCTTCCCTTGCCCCAACGATTCACCGCCTTGCATTGCTGGGTCTGCAGATTGAACTCTCCACATGCGCCTGGGTTTTTGGCTCCAGCGAGAAAGTCCCAGTCCCATCTTCCCTAAAAAGACAGACTCAACAGTGGGGCCGTAGGGCCTCAAAAGAGTGAAGAAAGAATTACAGGAAAGAGAAGAACGATGACTCAAAGAAGAATCCTCTTCCCACCCTACATCACCGTGGGGCCTCAGAAGAGGTGACAAAAAAAGAAGAAAACATTGCAGAAAGAATCGAAGTGTCCAGCAGAAGAACCACGAGGATGGGACTCAAAACCGACCATGTCCCACATGGACCTACTGGACTCATCAAAGAAAAGCAAAGTCGACGTGGATTCCAGGCAAACCACGTTTCTCCAAAGAAACCAGAGTGTTTCTAGGTACCAGGACCCTCCAAGGGGTGCCCTGTCTGGAAGCCTATAGGTAGTGTGGGGTAGTCCAGCCAGGACACCCCGACAGGAGGGTCCAGGTGTATGGTTTCTAGTCTGGTTTCAACCATTGAGACTCTCAGAGAGAAAATCCGAGGTTTGCCGCCAAGTCAGGGGGTCCAGTCAGGGCACATTTGTCCAAGAGCTTTGAGTTCGACACCCAATTGACCAAGTTCTTTGCGATGACCCACCTTGGATTTGCTGTCCAGGAACCGGAAAAATAGAACATCTTCCAGGCCAAGGGGTGGTGTGGCTCGTCCCAGCCAGTGAGTGGAGTAGGGCACCCCCACCTTCCTCCATGGATAGCACCCCTTTGTGACTACTGGTTCACGGACATATTCCACGGAAAATACAAAAATCATCCTAAAGCAAGACCAGGCCACTCAGATGCGGCCTTCTGATGATCAGCGAAGACTTTGGAGCAGCTGCTCTTGCACGTCTCATCGACTTTGAACTCATCGGGATACAAACCCCGCTGATAAGGGGCATAGTTGCAATCGAAGGCAAAGCCAATCTGAAACAAAGGGTCGGTGCTTTGGCAATCCGTGGCCCATGCTAAGCAACACGGCTTCACCTGAGCATTTTCGATACATCCGCCACCATATTGCCCTCCACACGAGCAGCATTTGCTCTCGGTCGGCCCGTCCTGCCAGGTGGAGGCACATCGCTTCAAGCGCGCGGGGCTCTCCTCACTGCGGTTGGCCAACTCCATCCGCACGGCAGTGACTGGCACTGTCGCCACCGCTAGCACTGCGAGCATCGACTTCATGGCTTTCACAAACACCAACGTGGTCCTAGATGTTCCGCTGAGTTTCGCTTGCAAGGTCAGCCGAAAAAGAAGCGGAACTTCCGAGGTTCTCTTCCAAAAGGCCTTGCTTCGCTCGCTGTCGAAGGCAGCTGTGAAGTGATGCTGATCAACTTTAGAATTCATTCATCCACGCTTACAGTTGTCATTCTCTCTCTCTCTCTCTAGACAAAGACGCAGCACACCATGAACGGACGGAGGTCCCTTTTAAAGCTGCATTCATTGGCAAATTTGCATGTGACACGGCTTCCAAGGCGGAGTCATGCCTCTTTCGTGTTTGGCGTTTTCCGGCGTCTTCAGTTCGAATCTCAAGGAAGGATTCAAAGTGTATTTTTAGGCAACGAGGCAACGCTCCTCTGCTTGTCCTCATCCTAGCATGCATGCCTTTAACATCCTTTAACCACGATTGATGACGCCGGACCCGACTCCGGAGAAGCAAGTTCCGCCGCACCTCGCGCACTATACTGCCATCTACTGCCGCCGGACCATGCAATTCGAGGAGTTTCGAGTCATTTTTCAGGACTCCAGCATCCTCAGGTGGGTCGCTTGGGTTGCTTCCCCATGCGGCTCGGTACCTAGGCGAGACTCTCGCTGGGACTCGCGGCGAGACGTCTCGGCGGGCCCCGGAAGAGCCTTGTTTCAATCAATGAGGTACAGGAGAGCTCCGAAAACTCCTTTAGAAGAACTTGACCTTTTTGTCTAAAACCTCCCAGTGGAATTCAGTAGAATCCTGTCTTAAATCCAACTGACTATGGAAGTGGATCAGATGATCAAACCACCTTTTTGGTAGGGGCCATCCACTTCTATGATGATTTCGGTGAGTGTATTGGTGAAGGTTGTTGTTTGGAGATGGGCTGTTGAACGGCCCTGGTAGAAGCTTCCATTGTCTACGTTGATCCCCAAGGTCCTCGTGGCAGCGAACGTGTGAAGTTGGCAAGAGACGAGGTGGGCACTGGTGGGAAGAGGTGTCCGAAAGCCAGAATTTTGAAGGGGTTTTATCAAAGCTTCACATACCCCAGGGATCCAGTCGTACCTTCTCAGGTTCGGTACGACTGGACCCTCCAAAACTACATAGCAGTGTCGAACACATCACCTTCTGAGAAGGTACGACTGGATCTTTAGGGATCTGTTTAGTTCTTTGGAGAACTTGCACATATCTCCCGAAGTTGCCTAGGACTGGCTCCCAACCTAGACACCCTCTTTCGACTCACTGTTTTTGGTGTCCGACCCAAGTCTTCCGTGGAGTTGGGGTGCCCCAACCTGGAGAATTGCTGGGGTGCCTCAAATGGCCCAAAAAATCCTACAAGCACAGCCATACATCCACTCTTGTCGGGCCGTCATCCACCCATCCCCGCACTCTTCAGTCGAGACAGACTATAGTCAGTTTTTGACCGACTGAAGTTAAGTTTATAAAGGAAGTTCCCCTGAAACAGGTCCCCCACGGACCATGACTCCCTTTTACCCCCCGATGAACCCCATCTCCACCCTCCTCAGGTGCTCCGGCCACACGCCCCTTCGCCTTCCTCGGCGCTGCTCCGGTGGCTTTCACCTCGCCTGGCGCATCCGCGCCGCAGTCCGAGGCGAAGGGCTCGATTCGGAACTGGACTGAAAGGGCTGGAAAGGGCTCCGTGGAACTCCATGGATTCGGAACTCGATGCTGAGTCCGAGTCCGGTGCCTTTTAGGAGGACCCGTTTCTAAGGGCCGGGGGCTCTTTCCGGCCGGAGGGACCGGTGGAGGGGGGGGTAAGGAAGCCAGGTGGATTCAGCAGCCAGCGACCTGGCGCCCCCCCCTGGCGCCCGTGATCTGCGAGAGATCCTTCGAGTTCGATCTGTTCAGTCGAAGCGACGTGCCTCTGAAGAGTGAAAAGGAAGAAATTTTGCATGTCTATTATGGAAGATCCAGGTATATCATATAGCTGTTATGTTCCTAGCACTCCTGATCCTTTTAGAGACCCCTGAAGCTCCCTTTAGACTATATGGGATGCACTCGAAACAACTCAAACCCATGCAAAATAGAGGTTTTATGAGGTTTTCACATATAAAATATAAAAGCAAAGTTTTTTACCAGGGAAAACCAGGTTTTTGACGGTTTGTGGGGCCCCAATCGAGCGCGGTCCAAAACTCATGGAGAATTGGTTCTAATGGGCCCTTCTCTTACAAGTTCCTTTCGCAACACTTTGCGGCTTGGGTGTTGCCTCTCGCGCGCTGCATTCCAAAAACCCTTTTTCGCAAGCTTTGGCTTTCGCAGGCAAACTGATTTCGCCAAGCTTTCCAAATGCTTTCGCGCATGAAAGAAATTCGCGACATCGTTCAGGGGCGGGCCCAAAAAACCCACGAGTCCCCGCGAGTACGGCACTTCTCAAGTTGGTTGAGTTTGGTACGGCATTCACCAGCCAAATCCCTTCCACCTCAACATCCGAGCCAATTCATGCTGAGGTCGACCATCCGGGCACCAGACCAACACGAACGCGGTGCCCTCGTGCCCTGCGCCACCTTTGAAGTCCGGCAAGTCTGGAAGCACTCCGAAGGAGGCCTGACAGATGGCCGAGGCATTGATGATGAAACCAGCTTTGCGTGTGACCACCAACAAGGCCGGCGTAAAGAAGGTTCCTTTAAAAAAAATATCATTTGAGCGTTGTTCGAAACCTGTGTTTGAAGCGACATTTCGTAAGGAGGTGCTTACGCACACGCTAATTTGATTATTTGATTCGTGTTGAGAGCAGTCCAGAATATACCTGGACCCTCCAAAGTACCTTAGAAAATGGGACATGAATGGAGGGTACAATTCCAGTGCAGGGGGTCCTGCTCCTGATTTTATAGATATAAAATGGAGTGATGGACCCCCAGGAAGCCATAGAATGACTGAGACCTCTATAAAATCAAGCGTGTTGACCAATATTAAAAGTCTATATTTTGAGAAGACTTGACCCCCTGAAATCCTTATAAAATGAGCAGTTTTCTATAAAACAACGCGTGCTGACGCCCAGCAAGTTTTCTATAATCTGATGACATCAAATGACATTTGACGATAAAAAACGCATGATATCTTTTTCTCCACATTTCTCTGGTGCGATCTGCTCTGGTCCCACATTGGTTGCCAAGCGCTTGACAGAAAATCCCCCTTCGCTCTCATTGCAACCACAAACACACAACATGCTAGACCAATTGAGATCAAACATTGAGACCAAAGGCGTTTGTAAACACTTTGATTAAAAAAACCCACCAAAAAACACAACACTTTCATATATAGATAGATTCCTAAACATTTCTAAAATTCTAAACGCTTTCTAGCTGCAATGAGGCGACTCGACATGGCTCAACTCGACATGGCTCAACCATGTTGCTCAACTTTCACCTTGGAAAGCTGCATAAACTGTGGATGAGATGAGCCCACTGTGTTCTCACAGGCGGACGTCTCAAAAGCTGATTCTCGATCAGCTTGAGCTTGTCGTGCACAAGCTTTCCCCACACCTCGCGTTTCCGTGTTGGAAACTCGGCCGAGAAGAAATTGGCGGCTGCGTTCAACAGATCTGTCCTTGTGCTCTTGGAAGCGTTGGGATGCCTAGGATCGAATGAACAAACATAAATTTTAAAAATGGTAAGCTGTAATTTTTTTGAGATCAAACTTGACAATAGATGTTGGGAATGATCAGATCTTGATTCATGAATCTCAAACATCGGATTTCATTGTCAATTTCTGAAACAAAATTCTAAATCAAAAAATCAACGCACTCACCCCCCAAAAAAAAATATAAACAAATTAATATATACATTTTTTCACATCAAAAAAAAACTCATAAATATGTTCAGATACTTTATCCGACAGATCTTGGTCTCGGCGTCGAACATCGGCTTGCTAGGAAAAGCCAGGACGTCCATCTCAAGCAGCCGGGACATTTGTTGCTGAATCATGCGGGTACCTTTGGATGATCTGGTGTAATTGGAGGCCTTGTTCTCGAGCGGCTGCACCAATGGGGTAGAAGGAGGCGCTTTGATGATGGCCACCTTCTTTGCCACCGCAACGGATGACTTCTTCTCGATGGGCTTCTTCTTCCCAGCAGCTTTCCATCGAGCTGCTGTCCTGAAGCACCTTATCTGTTTCTTCCGGCGCTTAGGCTCTGCTTGGATCCCTCGAGAATGGAAGCCTGAACGCCAGTCTGCAGCCACCCGCTTTTGCGCTTCCTTCACTGCTACGACACTGTCCTTCGTCAGCTCCACAAAAAAGGCGTCGATGCACTCATGTGGCGCACGATGACCTAAAAAGAAAAGGTCAACAAACCAAACATCTTGAACTAATAGATAAGCACAACTACAAACAAACCAACTAATGTGTTTTTTAACTAATGTGTCTATAAACTGGGGGGTGTGACGTACAATTTAGCATTAGATAAATCGTTTTATAAGGAGGGTTGACCCCCCTGATTTTGTACTGGCGAACTGTACCCTCCATGGACATGACCCCTTAAAAACAGGTACGACTGTACCCATTTTCCGAGGTACGAACGGGTCGACTCCAGGTATACGAATGATGACGAATGAGAGCAGTCCTTCAGTTCCGGATCCAAGGTGTGCGAGAGGTCCCATCCGAACGTGAGGAGGATCGAGCACCCCTATCCGTCCTCCAATTGATACCCCGACATGAAACTGCTGGCTGATGGAACTGCATGGTGTGTTCGATGGAAACCTTCTTCACCTCATCCGTTTTGCTGAAAAACTTGATCGGTCTAGATTGCTCTGATTGCCCGTGGTCGGCCCCACGGTTCAACCCAATGACGGATGAAATTCGTGAAGTACTACTATAGGAGCAATGTTCGCTACTATAGGAACCAAGGGCATTGCTACGAACGGGGCTCCTGGCCTTACGACTAGGAGCAAGGTTCGCTACTAGGAAAGTCGATGAGACACACGGGAGTCCTCAACAGGTCACTATGACTCGGTCGGTGCAACAAGGGAGGCCTGAAACGACGGCCGGCAATGGCCCACAGATGAAAACACCAAGTCCAAAGCGGTTCTTCTCCTGAAGGCACGTCCGTTTCTTTGCAAATCATAAAAACATCATCAAACATCTAGGGAGGACCCATTGTAGATAAACTTAAAGTGGCTCTTTAGGTTGATTTAGGTTGCTTTTTCATCGTCCAATCTTCTTTCACCTTCTTAGAACCTCTTGTTGACCCAGCAGCTTGTCTTGATCGGCGAAAAGTGAACAAATTCCTCCACAAGGGATGTCAACCTACCATGGTGGGCGATGGTGCAACTTACAGCCATTTGGTGGTCCCTCTCGCCTCGTCATTCGGCCCCTCTTGGAGATCCTCAGTTGTAGCCTGCTTCGCTTTGCGGCGTGAACGGCGATGGTGCCCAAACCCCCCGCGACGCCCGGCGATGGCCCGACACACGATGGATGGGTAGCTGCGTGGCACTGCCGGCAGCATAGTAGTACAAGGCCCTTCAAGGGGCCTTGTCAGCAAGCACGCCTTCTTTCAGTACGTAGTGCTTGAAGGGGCCATGCAAGACACTCTGCAGAGCCCCAAGTAGGTGGGGTGATTAGTGACCTTGAACCAAACCTTGATCGAAAATACGAGTGATGCTTGTTCAGAGAGGGCGTTAAACTGTGGCATCTCTACATCTCCCAAATACATCAGCTCTGGAGCACTAGGGGTGTAGATGCTCCAAACTCCTCTCCATTGCACCAAACACTAAAACCAATGGCGCCACCCCTCAATGGCACATCTTCGGACTTCAGTTCTACGTCTCCAGTAGAGCAGTCGTAGAGCTCAAGGCTCAATGCTTCCGCTAGCCCAAGAATTCCAAGCCGCAGCCGCACCGGAATGGCCGCCACGTGTCTCGGACTGAAAAAGACAAACCAAAAAAAACACCAACTAACGCACTCCCTGATCATCATGGAACTGGATGGCATGCCCCTCGAACGCCAAACAGGTAGTGCCTTCCACTTCCATGATGGTTCCAGGGAGTGTAAAGTGTAAACAGAGCCTGAGTGCCATCCTGCTCAGTGGTCACCGTCACCCTGAGTTTGGCAGAAAGAGTGGAAATCTGTGGATGCATCTGGGACCTGGGTAAGAGCAGCTTCAGGGGTTTGGGAGAATCATCCTGGAGTACATAGTTAGAATACGGCTTTGGAGTTTTCGCTGGCAAAGATGCAAAGTAAATGCCTAAGGCGTCTGGCCGAAGCTCATACAAAGATGTTCTTCCTACCGGGCCAGTGAACGTCAGCGTCCAATCCTTTTCATCGTCCACAAGGGGCTGCTTGGGCTGGTTGGACTGGTTGGTTTAACGGTACTCCTGACAATGTCTGACAAGAACCAACCAAGGTTGGTACAGCAACTGTAGAATTGTTGTTCCTTGACGGTATGTGGGCGTGTATTTTAATAGGAAGACTCCCAACCACCCAATGAACCAATGGATTTGGGTCTTTCCTTTCTTCCTGGGGGTCAAACTGGGAGGTCTCCCTATTTTAATACACATTGTCAATATGTGCCGGTGAGGGTGGAGTTGGGGACGTTGGATTGCTTGGTGGGGACGACGGGGAAGGTCAAGTTCAGCTTTCGCCAAGATGTTGGGACCCCTGCGCATCCAGGTTGGAATCAGATCAAATGTCAATTCTGCTTTGATCATCCAAGTTCAAGCTAACTGTATGCTTACAACAAACCAACATACTAGTCTTCTTCCTGGGGGTCAATTTACTGTCTCAAATGTGACCTGTCTGCATTCTGCCCACACCGACGCAAACTGAAGAGGCCTCACCTCTTGCACAAGCTGCTTCCTTGTTGCACAAAACACAGCCAAATCCACAGATCGTTGACATTCTCAGAATGCCACCCTTTCCGACCACTACCTCGCTGCTAAGTTAAAAAAAAGACGGATCAGAATGTACAAATAGATGACTGTCCAACTGTTCCTCTCCAATCTCCTGTCTTGCCAGGCTCTTTTTCTTCCTGAAGACCTCCTATAGCATCTCTTAGCAGCCTGAATACCTCCAAAAGCATCTCTTAGCAGCCGGACCTTTTCTTTGTCACCCACCTTCCTTCCTTCACACTCCTCCCGCCCTTCGCCCCCCCCGGGCGCCCCAGCTCCGAGGGCCGCCGCTCGGACGGACACAGCGCGGACGGACGGCCGTCGCCCGCCGCCAAGAGGACGAACCTGGGGGAGATCGGTGGGGAGATCGGGAGACGCACTGGTCGGCTCTCTTGGGGAACCCTTCGTTGTTTCGGGAAAAAAGGCACGAAAGAATACAAGAAACAGAATATGTTTGGTCTTTCTTGGGGAAAGAATACAATACAACCATACAAAAGAATACAACAGAATATATGTTGAATAATGGTTGTGTTTTTTCAGAACAGGATTAAATTAGCAGTCTGAACTTCGTGGTTTCATGTGATCTCTGAAGGCCATGGACGGTGAGCCGTTGGCTCCGAGGCGGCTGGCGGCGGTCCGACGCATGGCCGAAGCGCAGGACGAGCACGTGCCGGGACGACTCCAAAACCAGGAAAAATGGACGACTCCAAGGATTGTCTCGTTCGTCTGCAGCGGAAGAGACACCTGAAAAAGAGACACGTTCGTCAGACTGTGTTTCCGTATTTCTCTACACGTGTGCGCTTTGCTCTTTGATGAAGCAACCGGTGCTTGAAAGGATGCCAATCACCAGTGTGAAGCCTGCCCTTAAAAAAGACAACCGCGAGACCAACAGGCCCAGGTCCTGGGCCTGTTCAGCGCGCCCAGGATGGGCCCGTCCCGTCCGGACGTCAAGAACCCCCTGTGCTGTGACTTCGTCCCCCTTCCAAGCTCCCCGGCTGCTTCACCTGCCGAGCGTGAGCGCGACGAGGAGCCGATCGTCCGGGAGATCCAGGAGATCCAGAGGACGATGATCTTGGAGATGTGGTCAAGAAGGTCAAGAGAGGTCAAGATTATACCAGGTAAACCAAGGAGAGGTCAAGAGAGAGGTCAAGAGAGAGGTCTCACAGGTAAACCTGTTTGGGGAAAAATGATCAATTCAAGGAAGAAATGCTTCACACCATCTTTCCAACGTCCTTTCTTTCCTTTCTTTCTGTTGGAGTCTTCAGGTACCTGAAGACTATTCTCAGCATGACTGGGACGCTAAAAGCACATCTCTCCTTGTGTGCTTCCTTGCCCAATTCCTTTCTCCTTCTGAAAACCTCTGAAAGGCGCGGCAAGCTCATCCCTTCACTCTCCGCTGAACCGCCTCCTCGAAGGTGGCCCAGCTGCGGTCTGGCGCAATCTGTCCCACCGCCTGCGCGGGCGTTAGGTCGCAGTCGAGGATGCCCTGTAAGTACCTGGCGCGTCACAGGCATTCGGCGATGGGATCGGCAGATAGGATCGCCGAATGGATATCTGTATAACACGATCACATGGGACTGGAAGATTTGCCCAATCAGTTGGGGTGGTCGACCTGGGGTCAATATAGGCATATATTTCATACATTGGAGTGTTTGGATATGATATACTATATATAACTGCATGACCATCTATATGATGAATATTGATGGATATGATCTGAATTCAACTCTAGCGGAAATGAACATTTTCGGCACTTCTTCTAAAAAAAGGATGGCAACACAACACATCTCACTGACTCTCATGCTTGTGTCAAAAATCGAAGCCGCCAAGCAGTGAACATGTTCCAGCAGTCACAAAGGGGTGCTTAATGGAGGTTAGGGGTGCCCATTATCCACTCACTTAGGGACCAAACACCACCCCTTTGTGACTCCTGGTTGATGCTTTGCCTTGAAAAAACTGCTTCAGAACCTTCGGGCTCAGAACCTTCGGCTTCAGTCCACCGAACCACGGCCGAAGACGGCGACGACGCCGACCGGTCGGACCTCTCCACGTCACCTGCGAGGAGTGCGGAAGGACGACACGCGACCGATCGGTCGGCGCCGCGAGGGTCGGACATGCTGAGTAAAGAGCAAAGGCCCTATGAGGTCCATCAACCAAGTACCTTCCAAACTTCTTCCATCGCCTGATATTCATATATCATCAAAATATTAGATTACCAGCACCTTCATGATCCTTCATGACTACCAGCATTTTCATGGGTTCGCCCCAGCCCTATCCGAAATCTCCAGACAGGACATCTCTTAAGAAGGTCCAGGTCCCAGGAGTCACGTGAACTCGACGGGGTGGTGTTTAGTCCCCTAGAAAGTGAGTGGAGTAGCTGAGCACCTAACCTCCGGCACCCTCCATCGATAGCACCCAAAATGGAGGCCACTCATTCAGTCTCACTTTCAGTCTCAATTTGATTTGCTTGTGTCCGGACGACTTGGCACCCCTTGAAGTCCACTTCATCTGACTTCTTCTCACAAACCCCACGGCGGCCTCGCCCGCTGCGCGACTCGGGCTTCGCCTTGGACATCGTTCCGAAGAAATCTTCCAAGAGCGAATCCCTTCCAAGAGGTGAACCGGAAACTTCTTGGGCTAAGCTGAGCTGAGCCAAGCTCTGCTAGGTCTAACTTGACTTTGTTTTTTGTCTTTAGATTGGTGTTTAGTATGTAATTAATAGTCAGTAAGTATCTAGTGTTGATTTAGCTTGGAGTTAGCTAAATCTAACTTAGCCAAATTGGTAGTTGTTTGATGTTGTTTGATTTGTGTGTGTTTTTGTCTGACAGCAGCTTCGCGCAATCAGCCGTGCTTGTGTTTCCATGAGATCAACAGATACGCATTTCCTAGCGCTTCCAATGGGTGTCCTGTCTGGTGACCTATAAGCAGTGTGGGGTTGTCCAGCCAGGTACCCCCTTGGAAGCAGCTGGTTGGTATAAAACTCTGAGGCAGATGATCAAACCTGGGCCGGTTCGGGGCAGGTGTCTCGTGGTCGCCGGAAGAAAGGATCTTAAGCCGACGGGTTAGGATGAGGCCCGGTGCCCAGGTCGCGGCACGACAGGGGGATGAGGAAGAAAGGAAAAAGGAAGCGTTGTAATAGATGTGGAGCGTCAGCCAGGTAGCTGCGGAGCATCAGCGTTCCAAGAACGTCCAACTTGTTTTTTTTACGAGGCAAGTGTCCAAAGGCATGGGTAGCTCCGCCTGCAGAGGATACTGAGGATACCACTAGAAACATCCTGACGGCTTTTTTGCATCTGCTCCTCCGGCTTTTCGGAAAGAAGGCTCGCTCTTCGCCCAGGCTCGCTATTCGATCCACCAAATGTGTCGTAGACACCCGTGGACAACAGTGGATGATGGTGCCTTGTCCAAAAATAGTGATAAGGCATGATAAGGCCCTATACCAGGACACCCGGACCAGGGGTGTCTATTGGTGTCCATTAACCACCCCGACTGTGGGTCCTAGTATAGGACCTTTTACCGACTGTTACAGGTTTACTGCGACACTGAGACGGCACACCTCCACGAGAGCTTGTACAGCCCTTGGAGCAGTTGGAGCAGACACTGCGCACATGGTCAGGGGGCCTCACCATCCGTAGTCACCACAATGAGCTTGTTGTGCTTTGATACTAGTACTAGACTTCCCTTGGAGCATTAAAAACATGGGAGTGACATGGTTTGCAAGTGTATTTAAAATCCTTAGTAAGGCGATGGTTGGTTCGGTAAAGGCTATTATGAAACTTATATGGTTGGAATCCTGGGGTTTGGGCATGACAGAGTCCTTCCACCAGGAGCAGTACTTTTGCCGCCTCCAGTGGCTTAATGTTGCCTTGGGCATGATCGAGGAACGGCTGAAATCAGCCTGTGCAAGCGTGAAGCCTGACTCATTGCCTGCCTCATTGACTGAACTTCTGCCCATTGACCTTCACACAGTTGAAATATGAAACAGTGATGGGCTCGGCATCTTGCCTGCGGGAGTACGCCTTCAGTTTTTGCGCTAAAAGAACTTTCATTTTGGTGAAGACTTGCGCATGGGCAAGTTCGGCAACATGCAGGGGACCATCGCATCTCGACCAATGAGATGTGGAAAGCGAGATGGCGCGCATGCATCGGAGAAGTGGACATTGCTGGTTTCTTGTCAACAAGGACGCACAGAACCAGCTCAGATGTTCACCGACGTCACGCTAACACTCTGAGGCCAATGGTCCTAGTCGGTCCTGGGGCAGATGACATCACACGCGCGAAGGACGCGTCTTTAAAAAAAAAAAACATCCGTCCAGATGTCCACAGGGCCCTGAAGGATCAGTCTCTCTCAAGAATGGTCTTTCTGTAGACCATTTTCCCTTTGAAACTGAGACATCAACAGGAAGTATGGTTGATGTATGGCATCCTCTGTAGACCATTTTGCCGAACGAAAGTCTCTTCTGCAGAACTTCTGTAAACGGGCCGAAGTGGTCGATGTCCGGAGGGGTTGGGCGCCTTCCGGACATCAGGCTCGGCTTGGTTCCTCCAACGGTTCTGCATGCGGAAGCTGGGTGTCTGCTGGGCGTCTGCTGGCGGCCGGAAGTGACGGTCGGTATGCTGCCGATGAAGAAAGGGAATGGAACAAATGCATAAAGCGTAGTTATATTAGCATGATATAGCAACAGTGAAAATGGATAAAAACTGAGCCACATGACATGCAACAAGATACTGTGTGGAGCACTTAGAGGATCGTAGAGGAGTTATATAAAGTGGTATGAACTCAGTCCCACATGTGCCTCTTGTAGACGTTGCTTGTCAAGCCCGTGCAAATCACAAGCCAGTTCAAGAGCTGCAACGGACATCAACAAAGAATCTCCATATGTCAATTTTGCATAGATATTTAGATAACTTTCGAGTAAGAGTTGAATGGATTTTGTTGTTGCGAGTGGTTTCGAATGGTTTAGAGTACGTTTAGAGTGCTGAGGTATCCAAATACATCTATATATTTTTTAGATGTTTAGCTGAACTGGGTCTGTGGCAACAGGGTCTCTGTGGACTTTCCTGACCCAGGAGAATACATAGAATGTTATAAAAATGTCAAAGAGAAGGAAGCTCAACAGAACTGAGATCATCGAAGGCGGACAGACCGGGTTGCAGAAGGTGAGGGCTGCGGGCTGGTGAGGATTGGCGGACTTCAAACCAAGGCAATTATATCTGATGTTCACTGGTTGTAGATGACCTGGTGTTAAATCCAAGTTAGCGAGGGTCCCGGCTTGGACGAGGCAAAGATCAGGCTTCCGGGCAGCACCATCATCAACCAGTACACCTTGAAGGAAATGCTCCAGCACCTCAGAACGACGCGAAGTCTTCGTCACCAAAGGTGGCGGCCGCCAACCACATCACCTGCATAGCCTTCCGGCCATCGACCATTCGACAGGGCTGACCTGGTTTGGAGGTGCAAAAAAAACCGCCAAAAACCGCTCGGTGCTTTGCGTGTGACAGGCGATGAACAGCGGGGCCAGGAAGCCTCGCTAGGATCAGACGGGTCACAGAATCACAGATCCTCAAAGCTGGAAGCCCAGACACTCCATGTATGCCATATATGCCTACATTGGGGTGGTTTGAGGGGTCAATGTAGGTATTTATGGCATACATGGAGTGTCTGGAAAGTGTTCATCACCCAAAGACTCCAGAAGACTCGAATCTGGATCTTCCAACGACATGCCATGACATGCTACTTAGCTTTGGCTATTTGTTCTTAAAAAGGCAGACATTGGGCATGACGGCATGTCGATCCAGGTATGCCCACATTATCCCTGGCTCAACCACCCCAAGGTGCAAAATCCATATGCCAGTCCCATGAAGTGTCTGCATCACGGTGAAACACCGAGATCCACCCAGGCCGGGCAAAAAGGTCCCATACCCTAGGGCTCCAACCATATCCTCAGGAGGTGGTTAGACCCCCCTGGCACCCACCCCAACCAGCTTCTCAGGAGGTGGTTGGAGCCCTAGGGATACTTAATGGAACCGAAGACGGCCAGACGAACGACGAACTCCGCCCCGGCGGCACGGCCGCCACGCACCGACCCACCCTTTTTCTTCGCTCCTCACCGCGGCGCGGCGCGGGGGCGGTCCCGGCGCGGCCCGGACCGCCAAACGCGCGACTGCGGTCGCGAGGTCGTGGCGGCTTCAGGCTAAGCGTCTCAGGATGAGGGAATAGGTCGGATCCTTAGACCCGCATCCCACGAACGACGTGTCCGTGTGTGGCCGCCAAAGGACACACACAACGCGACGTGGTGTTACACGCGTGACCGGGACGTGTTCGGGCCGAATGGTATCACCGGCATGGGTCTGGATCTTTTGCGGTGGGGGGGGGGGGGTTCCGGCGGAGTGTGTGGTTTTACCTCATGGATGCCTCCCGCCAGCCGCGTGGGCTTTTTCGGATGTGAACAGAAGATGTCAGAGGGACAAAAGACCACCGTCCTACCACTATAGAGACCTAGGAAGTCCAGGATTAGCCGCTTGAAAATCCGAGTCAAAGCCAGAAAATCCCGGCAGTGGCCTCCAACCTACTAGCAATGGGCCTCCAACCTAATCCCATCTCATTTCTTCCACACATAGCCTCCCACCCGCGTTGGATTTTCCATCCTCCTGTCCAAGGTGCCCAAGTGAGACCTGACCTAGGCGTGGGAGGACACCCATGGTGACCCAGAAAGCTTGACCACTGAGCATGAACAGAATAAGCATGAATCAGCTACGAGACGTGGTCAACCGGAAAACGGAGTGAATTCAGTGAATTCCATGACCCAGTACTGCCAAAGGATAGGAACATGTTGCCATGGATTTGGCCCAGATCGAACAACCCCAAACACTCCATGCTCCTGGGAATCCGCCAGGTCAGGGCTTCAGTGGCCCAGTCGCACCCGATACGAGCTCACCACTACACGAGCTGTTGTCCCGCTCGGCGCTGCACTGATGGGGTTCATCGCCCGCCCAGTCTCGCCGGGATCGACTTGTTCCCCGCCCTTCGACAGCTGCGACACAGCTGGGGGGCCCCAGCATGAAGATATCCAGCTCCGACACCTCAATTCGCACACGGAAGACGCACTTGGTCTCACCGTCCAACGTTTTAACGAAATGCAAGAAACACCGAAGACTTGTTCAAAGCCATCTACTCAAAAGAACGAATGCCGCTAACAGACGATGGTTCCTGGGACGTGCGTCAAGAATTTGGAGGGGGCACCAGGTTCAAGAGTCAAAGTAGAGTGACCTAGAGAAGCCTTGAAGCCAAAGCCTCTGAAAACGTCATACCATTCATACCCCAAGGAAGACCTTAAGTTCGTGGAGGACGAAACACCAGGTGTGTTTAGCCATCTGACCCGTGTTTCTGCGGGTGTTCTATGGGTTCTAAAAGTTGTTGCCAAAACACGAGGTGTTCTGAAAACACTGCGGTTTTTGAAGAACCATGGTTTTCGGCCAATTGATCTGAAACACCATCTTTGCCAAGTCGGACGTGTTTCAAACTTTGCAGGGTCTGAGCATGCTCGCGGGAGACATCGTTTAGTATATATAGTCCTTTGTAAGACTGGTGGTCCCGCCTTTTCGTTATGGAAATCCGCAGCTTCACTGCAGGTCACTCAAAAAAGAGAACAAGACCTTGCCCCCTCTCTTGGATGCATCCGCGACCCAGTCCCAGTCCTACACCAGCACCCCGCGCAACCCTACCCACCCTCCCTTCGCCTCGGAGATGCGAATCTCCTGACGCTTCAACTCCTCGTGGAAGCAGCAGTTCCAATAGCGCTTGCCCCAGGTCAACTTGGGATCCCACTTGCCCTGCGCCCAATCGGCGTGTGCCGCGCGGTGGGCAGAAACGCGAGGAAGGAGTGGGGCGGAGTGGACCTTCGGAGTTAGCTGGTCCGCCCCAGAACCGGACCAAACTCCAAACTCCGACACCTCCAGTCGTACCTCTTCAGGTTCGGTATACCTGGACCCGAACCTGGCAGGGTCGACCGACCCACGAATCCGACCGATGTCGACCGACCCGGTGGACCGTTCGACCGTTCCGCCTGGTAGACGCTGTTGTGCGCCACCCAGGTGTATCCACCCAGCGCCGTGGCCCGGAACATCTCCCAGGCCACGCGGCACCTAAGGTCCGCATCGTGTCGAACCAGGGGTCGTATGAGGTCGTAGGTGTTGAATCCAGGGGGTTGGGGGGGTTGGAAACATCCTCAAGATGAAGAGTATATAATACCTGGATCTTCCAAGGACGTGCCCAATTTCTGCCTCTTCATCCATCAAGACAGTCAAGTTAAGCGGAAATATTGCATAGTTGGAAGAATTTCGAAGACCTAATAGGTCTATATAATTATAGGTATTACTCGAGGTGAGATAACAACACCAGCACCCTCCAACAGGTCACCTGCTTCTTGGCCCTTCCCAACCCTCGAAATAACACCTGGCAGAGATGGGAAATGTCAATCAAAATGTCGTTCCCTCTTCATCTGAGAAACCCCACTGTGTCTTCCGGGTCCTCGACAGCTTCTGGCAAGGCGTTCGACTGACATTTCGTACGCCTTGGCTGAGGTAGCGCGTGCAGCGGTTTTGCGCCACAGGTAAAGAGCCAGGAGGTACAAAGCCTTCCGTTGGACGACCATCTTTAGTGGATGACCTGGTTCTGTAAAATCCTTCCTAGCTGCATTTAAAAAAATGGTGGTTATAGGGATTCCGGCTCTTAAACGAATGGTGGGTCAGGAAGCCGGCAGGGCATGCGGAAGGCCGGTCTCGTTGAAAACATCACTTTCCCAACTCCACGTTTTGTGGATCATTCTTGGATTTGCGCCTCCGAACCGGGAAATGAACACATTCCGAATTGGATGCACCCCACTTCGGAAAAGCAAGCTAAGCTAATGATGAGATACACCAAAAAATGAATCCTATATAAGATACCTAAAAAGGATCCTGCATAAGATACCCCCAAAAAAGATCCTATACCAGGGCGGTTAATGGATACCCCTTAACCTCTAAGACACCCCTCGCCTTAGGGGGCCCTGCTATAAAAGAAACCTCAGCAAAAAACATATGAGTCGCACAATAATATCATGTTGTATCTATTTCTATCTCATCATCTCGTCGCTCACCTCGAACTGCCCGCGCTTCAAGTCGCGCGCTTTCACATAGCCAGGTGGCCACTCGAAGGCCACGGCTCAGGCCCCGCCTGGACGTTCAGTTCAGTCCACGGCCGGGTCCGGGGGGTGCTGTGGCGCCAGGTGCGAAGGACTTGCCAATGAGTTCGGTTAAAGCAGCAGGGAACTATACCAGCATCCTCCTGGCCAGGCTGTTAGTTGAGGGTTGTTGGACCCTAACAGGTCTCAATTGGTGACCTGTTGGAGGGTGCTGGTAGGCTTTTAAGTCCTTTGAGTGAGTAGATGGTAACCCCTTGTTTTCCGTTCGTTCGGCCAAGCACGTGAAACTGGTGAAACTGGTGGTCTGAGACAGCGCTTTTGTGCATGTATTTGGCTTGCAGGTCTCCCTGAAACATGTTCTCATCAAGCGGCCGTTCCACCTGTGGGACTGGCAGAGATGTACTGATCAGTGCTTGATTTCAGGCGCTTGATTTGCCCAAGATGCTCCAGGTGCTTAGTTCCGGCACTTAGACCCCCAGGAAGCCCACTGAAGAAAAAAAAGAAACACCGAAACGGAGGGGCTTAATGCACCACCTCCCCATTGTGGCTTGGAAAACCCATGCAAAAAACGCCTTCATGGAGATCGCCCTGTGAATTCTGTTCTAGTCAGAGATCGACCTCCTCGCCCCCTCGCCCCGAACTCGACCCCAAGGTCCTCTTCGACCCGTTAGGTCGTTCCGGTTCCACCTACTCTTTCCCACCTCCCAGCGTTCCGCGTCGCTCCGCAGATACTGCAAAACCTGATTTCGGAGACGTCTCCGGAGGCGGTCGAAGTGGGGGACAACCTGGACAGACGCCCTGAACGCTTGCCCAAGACAAAGGATGGGAGGAAGGGACCCCGTCTCCTCTTGGGTGGGCCGGGGTGATGGGCCGAGCCGACATCGAAAACGGCCTCCGAACGCCGGACCAACTGAGAAGGTCCGGGAGTTTCTTCCGAAACTTGGTGCTGAGTTTGTTCAGGTCCGGTGGTTTTCCACCTCTTTGCCGAAGGGACGAACCGTGGGGCCCTCCGGTTCTGAAAAGAGTCTTCTCGGGTGAAGATGGATTCATCCGAACTGGACTAGGACCCACAGTCGGGGTGGTTAATGGACATCCCGAATCACCTCTTTTCGGGGCTATCAAGTTCGACACCCCTGGTCCGGGTGTCCTGGAAATGGTGCTTGATG